TCAGAACCATTTTTGAACAGTATTAATCTTCTGTTGGAAAAATGCCGCCTTGCACAACCTCTCTAGGAAATAAGATTAAACACAGACCTCTAATGGCAAAAAAGCTAGATCACAAGTACAGATGGCCCTAATAGTTGGACTTTATGTTTCAGAGTTTTGTCTTACACTTGAGAAAATCTAGTGTTTTAGTGAAAGTGTTTTTTAGAATAGCCTTAGAAGAGGAGCTCTACCATTGGATGGGAGGAGCCCAAAAAGTGTTCTCCTATTGGCTCGTGAGCTGTGGTTAGGCACTCTGATTCTTGTCCCTTGCCTCCTTGTCACTGCGGAGGCTGAGAGAGGTGATTATCATCCTATTGCCTTCTCACGGCCCGTCTTAGGGGTCCAGCGTGTCCCCAGGTCTTAGATGAGGGATGTAAGCCACGCTGAGGTTCGGTGGTGGGAGCTGGGGATGCAGGACCTGGTGTCAGATGCCAAGCCCAAGTTCCCCTGTGGGTCTCTGCACTGTGTCGTGGCTTGTGTCTCACAGAAATGACTTGAGCAGAGGTAAATGAAATAGGACCTTGTGTATGAATTTCATTTCCACTAGACATCGTCCTTTGTTCTTATTCCTCTTGAATGCATCTTTATCATTGTTGCCAACATTTAGATCCTGCTTCATCAGGACCTTTGTATAAGCATCTTCACTGCTATCACACTGATTTGAGGCAGTCTATTAGCTGGCTTCATTGTATTTGTTCAACCTTACCTAAAAACTTTTTTTTTTTCGTGGTTAAGATTTTATCCAAATCAATCTATTTGGCTCATGGAGTGATTATCTGATTTCTACTGTTGTTTTTTTAATCCTTTTGTTCTTTTCAGAAAGCTTTACTGCTTCATATCCTTTGGTCTGTATTCTGCTTACTATTTCAGTTGCATCTTTTCCCAATCGTCCTTTGGCTATATAGTAATAGAGAAGAGAGGAGAAAACCATAATGTCATTGCATTATGGGAATGCTGATACGTTAAACTCAGTAAGAGTCTAATTTGTCATTTTTATGGAGAGGCAGAATTAGTTAAAATTATTTCAGCCTCTGATTTGGAGATTGAAGTGGTCAAGCTTACTTGGTTATCTCCCCCTCCCCCACTTTGTTATTTTAATGTGACACCTAACATATTTTGAAACTAGAGGAAGGAATATTGGAGAGGAAGTCTTGTGATCACTGTCTTCAGATCTGCTGCTTGAAGTTACTTGCCCTAAGCATTCTTTTTCTCACTGTGATTATGGCGATAGCTGTAGTATGAGTACTGATGAGAATTATGCGAGGGAGTGTAACAGAAAGTGTTCAGGGCAATGCCTAGTAGATGGTCAGAACATGCTTAAAATTATTAGTTTCTTTAACTTTTTTTCTTTAAATAGGCTAGAAAATTTTTCAGAATGTCAAAGGAAATTGGTGTTGAGAAATGAACTGATTAAAAAAAAATGCTGGATTTTTTTTTTTTTTTTCCTGATGAAGATAAAAAAAAATGTACATTTTCTAAAAAGTAGAGGATTGCCATTTGGTCAGGTTATGGAAAGGAAGTCTACTAACATAATTTTTATTAGCCTTCATCTGAAAATTGTAAACCTTTTGTCTCATTTTGTTAACTACTAGGAGTAAGGTGACAAATGTGTCATTTTTGGTGGTAACTGGAAAAATCTATGACAGCGAGTGGACTAACTGGTAGGACTGTGTCCTGTATCTCCATTCCAGGTTTCTCTTTTCCACCTCTGTACATACAGCCTCCTCTTGGACATGACTGTGTGGATGTACAAGAGCATCTCAAGCACAACGTGTTTAAAACTTGAGTATTTAAACATGTTTTCATTTCTTGATGAATGAAATAAACACCATTATCATCTGCCTGGTTGTCCCGAGTGCCCTTCTCTTTTTCCCTTTTGTGTGCAGGTTCACACATACAAACCTACATCCCACAGGTATTTACTGAATACCTGCTATGTACGTTTCAGACCATACTCTTGGTGCTAAGGATATAATGATGCACAAAGTTGCTACATTTTAAAACACTTTTTTTTTGGAATGAGGGGAAGAAAGACAAATGGTAAATTGATAGTATGCCAAGAGTAAGTGCTTTGGAGGAGAAAAGTAGGTATCATAATGGTGATTGGGAATACTGGGTGGGAGTTGCTATTCCCTATAAGGCAGTAAGGGAAAGCAGGATTCTTTTGCTGCCTTGTGGTGAAGAGATTGCAGTCAGTCAAACCAGGAGGTGGGCGATGAGTTGAAGGCAGTTATGAACCAGGTGAGAAAGGATGGTAGGAAAAGCAGTAGCTGGGGAGATGGTAAGGAGTGCTTATCTCAAGGAACATTTTTGAGTTAGAGTCAACTGGGAAGTAGCAGAAAACAGGATGACTTCAAGCTTTTTTGGGTTCAGCAGTTGCAACAAGAGCATTCCCATTTTTTTGAGATGAGAAGAGAAGGTGTGGAGGGTGTGTGTGTACATGTGATGTTCAAGGTGCCCCTTAGACATCCAAGTAGAGATGTTGAAAGTAGACCCCTGGGTATTCACTCTGGAATTCAGGAGACAGATGTGGGCTGGATTCTCCTTTTGGAAATCATCCCTTCTGTCCATCCCAGTTTCTGCTGCTTCAGGTGAGGGCACCATTTTTTCTCCTTTGGATTTCCGTAACTCCCTCTGTCTTGACCTCCTACCCTCGTACTTTTCCACTCTTTCCATAGCCTGAGTTTTTTTCTAAAATGCAGTTATTTTGATATCTGTCACACACTTAAATCTCAGTGGCTCCTCATTGTCTGGAGGATAAAATCCAGACGTCTTAACCTGGCTTAAAAGGTTTTGCGTGATGTGGTCCCTGCTACTTTCTGGTGTCATTTACTGCTACTCAATATTCTCTGTTCTTATTATTCTCTCTTCTTTCTGTACCCTTCAAGTTCTTGCACCTTTAGATCTCCAAATACTATCCTTCCCTTATCTGATCCTTCCTCCTCCCACCCCAAAATCTTCTCTCCTACCTAACTCCTTTTCTCCTTCAAGCTTTTGATTAGATATTTATTACATGAAGACTGTCCCTGATAAGTATGGGTTATGGGATTCTTCTTTATTTAGCTTTGGTTTCTAATAAAATGTTACATATATATCCATGCATTGTAATTGGCATTTGCTTTGAATTTACTGCTGTTGGTCTTTATTTATTTTTTTAAATATAATTTATTGTCAAATTGGTTTCTATACAGCACCCAGTGCTCATCCCAAAAAGGGCCCGCCTCCATTCCCATCACCTACTTCCCCCTCCCCCCCCCCATCAACCCTTAGTCTATTCCAGGTCCTTAAGAGTCTCTTATGGTTTGCCTCCCTCCCTCTCTGTAACTCTTTTTTTTCCCCCTATTCTGTGAGGTCAGGATGTCTCTATTTTGTCTAACAGTGTATCTGTATTGCCTAGCACAACCCCTATTAATTGGTGCTTAATATTCATTTGAATGAAAGTATAAGCGAAGTTACTGATGATAAGCATGTATGCAAAATTTAGTAGTTTTTATATACTCAGCCATAACTAGTTATAAACTATAGTGGGGAAAGGTAGAATTAACCACTCCCTCCACTTCCCATCCCCATACTTAAGAGTATAATTTGGATTTACTTAGGACACCTAATAGTAACAGTGAGTATATAGGTTGCCTAGGAAGATCACTGTGGTAAGTTGAATAATTATAAACACATGTCATGTTGATGACTAGGAATTTTGAAAAATTGTCAACATATCAAATCTCCTTGAATCTATTTATAAATGCCTTGCAAGTCAAATGCAATTCAAATGGATTTTATTTATGGCACTTTTGAATTACTCTAAAGTTCATGTAGAAAAATAAATGAAGGAGAAAAGGAAAGAAAATGTAGAAAGGGAAAAATGATTTGAACATTTTATTAAAAAAGATATATCATGCAGTGCTTAAGACAGAATGATAGTTGACCAGGAGTAGTACTTAGAGCAGTGGAACAGAATGAGAAACCCAGAAAAACAAATGTGGGATAAAAGTGTAATATAAAATTGGTTGAAAAAGATGATTATTAATAAAATGATAGAGATAATTAATATTTAGAAAAAATATAAAATTTGATCCCTCAAACTATGTAACAAAACATATAATAGGCTTTTTTGATAGAAAAATAACATGATGTGCCCTCTTATATGTTTGAAGATTCTTTTAGAAGCTATTTCCCCAGTATTAGTGATTTATTTGTACATGTCTAACAAACACTGCTCCATTATTCTTTGTTATCAAGATCCTAATTTTGTATGATTGGCCTTGACCGGAAGAGCGATCCATGAACACAAAGGAGAAGGAGGACGATAGGATGTTACAGATCTTAATTTTGACTATCCTATACCTTGCTGTGAGGACAGGTCATAGATTCATGTTTAGCATGATGCTTATTCTGTTATTCTTTTACTAAGGAGAGGGAGGCTAGATGCATTTATTGATTTTAAAACACTCAGATAATGTAAGCTAAGTATCAAATTTTGACTGTTTTTATAGATATGGAAAACAAATAATAAACCATCTACTCTTCTGGTTTAGTATGAGCTATATTTTTAAATAAGCATGGTATATCAGACATAAAATAGCTGTGTGTGTTTGCTTAGCACTCTTTGAGCTAACTTCTTAACTTACCCTAAGTGTAAGTCTGTTTATTTCTTTAATTCTGTCCTGTATACTATTCATATGAGCTAAGTGTTCTCATTGTTATGCCCAATGGTATTGGTTAAAATAATGCAATCAGTTTTATTTTTAGTTTTTCTGTTAGACCTTCACGTATTTACTCTTAGTTTTTCTAGCAGAAGAACCACCAGTGCCTATCTGAAACAGGCCTTGGGATGTCTATTATTTTTATATCCATGTTCTTTAAAAGATTTGTATCTTTTTTGTATTCTTTGATAATAGTTCACAAACTGTCCTTTTGCTGCTGAATGCCTTACTGACATGGATCTATCCTTGCTTTTACAGAGAGAAGAGAAGAGGAAGATTTGGAAGAGAAGAAAGCTATTAAGAAAAAAATTAAAGAGCTTAAATTTTTAGATTCTAAAATTGCCCAGAACCTTTGTACGTATCAAACTTCAATACTATTACATTAGCAAAACACTGGAGGTGGTTCCTTTAAATTATTTCTTTATGACTTGTTTTTCATTTTATGTTATTTTAATATTTTATTATTTGCATAATAACTTCAAAGATAATTCATTTAAGCAAATGATGGGTTAAATTTTTCAAATTATAATGTACTTTAGGAAAAAAGCTAAGGAAAGGATTTAGAATGAAAGTATATGTTATATAGCTGAAAAAAAAAGGCTATCCTTTGTCTAAGCATATAAATAACAAGGAATTTGGGTGACAACATCGTATTTTAAAAAATAGTAGTGGATTATTTCTTTTATACCTCTGAATCTCTATTATTTTTGATACTTGATCACACACAAAAGAGGTTGGAATATTAATGGAAATTAGGATGATGAGAAAAATGAATTCCATTATCCCATCTGAGCAGTTCAAAGCCTTTCCTCAAAAGTAATGACTGGAAATATTTTAGATTTAATTACTGTTACAGGAGCTAAATACTTAGCATTGAATTGTCTTTCTGACTGAATTACTATGGGAGAAGAGGGCAAAGAATTTTGCTTCTAACTCATTTCTAACTGCAACTTAAATGCATCAAAGATAGTTTGCTTGGAACTGAGATAATAGGATATGTATGTTATTTTCTGATGTTATGAGAGGGATGCAATGTGGAGAATCTAGAGGCATGAAAAGTTAACGTGGCTTTTAGTCTTCCTTTCAATTATTACATGCCTCAAGAGAGCTTTTAGCAAGTATTGGAACAAAAATTCTTTGGTGAGAGGATAAAGATCCATGCTATTGATTAAAGAGGGAATTATGTTAGAGGCAGTAAGCGTGAAAGACAGAGTTGACATTCCTTTTGTGAAAGTTTTGCGATCTCCTTTCTTTCCTGCTTACTCTGACAGAGGGCCACCCCTTTTCTGCAGTGTAGGTATGCCAAGATCCACATGGATAGTGTGTAGACATTAATGCTATTGGCCAAGATATTGCTCTCTGTTTCTGGGGCACAAGTTGATACCTTTGAAGTTACATGTCATCATGTGACTTGCTTGGGCCAATGATAGTATAAGCGGAGATGAGATAGCTTTTGTGTGGGAGCATTTGTTGGTGGTGTGAGAAACTCCAGTGCCCTTTCCCCTGCACCCAGTATGGCAGTCAAAATGGTGTCTATCACCCTGATGAGAAGATCACAAGTATCAGGGCTCTGTCTTTCTGATGTGTAATGGACATGTAGTCTGAATTAGAGATAATTTACATGTATGTGTATGTGTGTGAATGATTAGACTACTGAGATTTGGGGGACTGTTACATGATACAGGCATTTCAGGGAATTTTCCCCCTTAAAGGAACATTGTCTGGCTTCAAAGCATTATTAACTTAGATAATGACAAAAAAAATTATATTCTCTGTGATGTGAAAAACATAGATTTTCTTGAAAAGTGTCTATGACCCACATTACAAATTCCTAGTCTAGACTCTAAACAGCCTTGTTAGGGGTCCTGGAGAAGTACCAATGCAAATGGATTTTTTTTTTTTTTTTTTTTTTTTTTTTTTTAATTTTAAGGGAAAGAGAGAGAGGGAGTGAGCAGAGGAGGGTCAGAGAGAGAGGGGGAGTGAGCGAATCCCAAGCAGGCTCCGCACAGTGTGGAGCCAGATGCGGTGATTGACCTTAGGAACTGTGAGGTCGTGACCTGAGCTGTAATCAAGTTGGACACTTAACCGACTGTACCATCCAGTTGCCCCTTACATAGAATTCTTTTTAGATGAGTCAGTCATAATAAGTTAGCTTAAATATCTATCTCAAAGTTGAATAATTGACTTTAGTATTATTTATATATGACAGAACATGTGCTAAATGGGATTTCAAATTTAATTGCATTGGTTAATAATTATTGATTACCTTCCTGTGTTCTAAATTTGGCCCTTTAATCTTAACTACAACCCTATCACATAGGTAGTAGCATTGATGTTGCAGATGGGTATAACCGTTCAGTGACTTGAATAAGGTTGCCTGTTTTGAAAATAATAGGTATAGCATACACTATTCCTGTTTAGAGATAACAGAATCACATTTTCATGGAGAAGGATATTGTTTGTCTTTTTTGCTTTAGCTGAATATATGGAATATATATATTCTTTTAATTATTAAACACATTTTAAAGTATAATATTGAAAAGTCCAGAATTTATGCCATTCATATTATGATGTAATCCATTCCTGGATTATTCTTGCCCTCTCTGATTGTAGCAAGTGTTATGATTTAAGCTTTAAGAAGCTTTAGCAACCTATAATCTTGACCATAATTATAATCTGATTCACAGCTGTTTTTTGTCTTTGAAATTCAGTCTTTTGAGATACTGAGTTGTGGGAAGAGTCTTGTGATAGGACAAGACAGAGTCTTGCCACTTAGAAATCTGCAATACATTCTCTTAGATTTCTCTTAACTGAAATATTTGATAGAATTTTGAGGAAAGGATGTAAAATCTACCCTTATTTACCTATTTATTCAAAAGTATGTTAGGTTCCCTATGTTTGAGTTCATAAAGGTTTTGGCAGAGACCCTGTGCTGAGCACAAAAGAATTCCAGGCACTCGAGGATCAAGAGAGCCCTCAGGAGTTTTACAAGGTTCATATGCTTTACCAGATTTTTGGAATATTAGAGCTCTAAAGGGAGGAACCCTGGAATCTATGAATTAATGTAAAGATTTAAATATTTATAAGTTCCCTTGAAGAAAACATGTGTGACTGGTTCCAAAATCTGCACACTTTACATTTCTTCACTGAACTCAAAGCTTCAGTGGGACCTATATAGTCACATTTTGAAGGATAAGATGCGTGTTAGTAAAAATATTCACTTTAACGGGTCTTTTGGAGGCTTTAAATGAGTATCTCCTATCCTCAGTAACTTCTAATTTGTTTTTTAAGGATCTATGCTTGTCTTCTGAATTGTGTGTTATGCATTAGGCCATTTTCAACTTTTCTGTCATTTTTTTCCCCCTTAGAGCACATGTTTGGCAGAAATCTTATTCATAAACTATAAAAAAAATTGTTCAGTCTTTATAGATATAGGTGTTTAATGTACATGTTATTTTAACTGTAGAATATTAATACTGGAAGGCAGAGAATGAATTATCAATATAGATGAAAGTAAAGGAATAAATGATGTCCATCCACACAGTAAACCCTTCTGTTAACATTTTTATCTTTTTATATAGTTGTTACTATATTAGTTACGCATGTTGTGTTATTTATATTTACTTCTGTTATTGTTGTACTTACATAAATGTGCAAGTGAGATCATAGTAGGTTTTTATCTGCAGTTTTGTTGTTTTTTTTATCTCCACAACCACCTTCACTTCTGACACCAGTTAAGTTAGGGGGTCCCCAAGACCAATCTTAAGTATGATGGTTTATTGGAAGGACTCACAGAAATGACTGAAAACTCTTTGATTTATGATTAAACAGTACAGATTAAAATCAGCCAAGGAAAGAGGCACATGGGGAGGTGTCCAGGAGAGTTTGGAGCGCGAAATTTTCACCCATGGACATCTCTAGCTTCTCCCAGCAATGATGTGTAATAATAGTCACAGGTTATTGCCAACCAGGGAGGCTCACTTAAGCCTTGGTGTCCAATGTTTTTACTGGTTCTTGGTTTTGGGTGAACCTGACCCAAAACTGCGTGACTGACCTTAGTTTTCAGACCCTCGGGAGGACAGGTTAATACTGTGTGACTCAAAATCCCCACCATAACTGAGATTATTAGCATAGACTGGCTAGTGTGACCCAGTGTCCCCAGTAAACATAGAAACTCTTATCAGGCAGGACATTCCCAGGGCTTTTGAGAGTAGCTCCCAGGAGCCAGACCTCACTTGATTAAGCTTCATCTGTTACCACAGTATGCCACCCTTTTTCCCCATGCATTTTGTTTCCATATTATTCGTTTAAAATTATTTTCATTGTTTTTGTTGTGACCTATTATCAGAGAATATAGGAAATGCATGTTACATTTAATGATATAAATCAAACACCTACAGCTAAAGAAATAGAACATGACTCATACTTTAAAGACTTACATATGACCTTTTCCAATTTTATATCCCTTCCTATGAGAAGTTACCATTCTCTTAAATCTTGGTTTAAATATTTCCTTCCTTTTATTTATAGTTTTACCAACCATGTGCATATTCCTAAATAAGCTGTTTAGTTTTTAACTGACTGACTTTTATATAAACAACATCATATCATATTAATGCATCTGGCTGTAGTATATTCATTTTTATTGCCATTTTTAACACATTCTTTGACTGTTACACTTTATTCATTTAACCCTTGATTGACTTCTGCGTTGTTTCTCATTTTTGGTGGTACTAAGGCAAGGTGTGGCAAACTATGGCCTTCAGGCTAAATCTTGCCCATTGTCTGTTTGTTAAGACACAGTCTAGCAGAGCTTAGCCAGGACATTTGTTTACATAATGTCTGTGGGTGCTTCTGTGCTCCAATAGCACAGTTGAGTAGTTGTGACAGAGCCTGAATAGCTTAGAAAACCTAAAATAATGGCTATGTGACTCTCAGCAGAAAAAGTTAGGTGACTCCGCCTCTAAGTAGATATCTGGGCAGTGTTTGTACCAATTTATTCTTCCACCATCAGCGCCTGAATTTTCCTACTTCCTAACCTTACCAATGCCTCGTGTTTTGCAAGGTTCTAGAGTGGCTTAAAAAAAATACATCATATTTGGGATTTGTTGGGCCTTCGTGTTGTTGATGATTTGTGTCTCTTTATAATTCTGGAATATTCTGACCTTTTCTCTTCAAATAAGATTTCTTTCAACTCTGTTCTTTTTTGTGATTTCCCTTTGTAAATCCAAGTAGACATTTTTAAGGTATCTTTACTTATCTTCTGTATCTCTTAACCAACTATTTTTCCATCTCTTTAAATTTGTGTTTTGGATTGCTTTTTTGCCTGTGGTCTTTCATGTCCTCAATTTTCTCTTTATATTATATCTAATCCATACATTGAGTTTTCGATGTCATTAGTGTATGTGTGTATATATATTTTTTACTTTCAAAAAGTAAAAAATCCTCCAAATCTTGTTTCTTTTTAGTAATCTTTTTCTTTTTCCCTTGGCCATTATTTCAATCTTTCCTTGAATATTTTTTTCTCCCAGGATTTCTGTTTTCCTTCCTTTAAGGATAGCTCAGAAATGGATTTAAGATTTAAATACATGCACACACTTATGTATATTTTTTAGATATTTCGAGGGTTTCTTTTTTATTCTTGAGTTATAGCTGACACACAATGTTACATTAGTTCCAGTTGTACAGCATAATGATTGGACAGCACTATACCTAATGCTATGTTAAGGATATTTCTTGATTGAGATCCAAAATATCCTTTTTTGGGAGGAGGAAGTAGATAATTCCAGAGCATCTCTCCACTTTGTCTTAGTGGCTGAAATATGTAAAAGTATAATTTTTCTTTCTCTCCATGATTGTGTTATGCCTCAGAGTAATTTTATCCTTTGATCTTTGTATTAAATGTTATAATCTTTTCTATATCTTCTTGTTGTATCCATAGACTAGGTTTCTTGAGTAGAATTTATTGCTTCTCAAAGGGAATTAATAATTTCAAAGATTCTGATTAATCTTACTAATCCTACAGAATTTGCAATTCAGGTGTATTTTAACACTTTGTCTTCTCAGTTTGCTTACTCCTAAGGTTTAACACATTATTACATATTATTAGTTTTGTTTTTTTCTCTTATTCTTTTAATTAAAGTTACATATATTTTTTAAGATTATATTTTTTGAGAGAGACAGATAGCATGAACGGGGAGGGTCAGAGACATCTCATGAACCTTGAGATCATGACCTGAGCAAAGATCAAGACTCAGATGTTTAATCTGAGCCACCCAGGTACCCATAAGGTTACATACATTTTGCTCATTTTCCTTTTTAGAGCTCAGGGTATTCTAAATGAAAAAAAAAAAAAAATTGCTTTGCTTTTTGAGGCAGATTTATCCCCTCAGCTTCCTTATTTTTTAATTGTTTAAGGTGCTTTGACTTGTTTTCCTTTTATGTTGTCAGAGATCACTCTTTTCACATATTTTCCAACAACTTATATGATTAAGATGTTCTCTTACCATAAAGGAGCTAAATTGTCATGTTAAATTTATTTTAGTATTTGTTTTTGTTAATATTTACATTTAATTCTGCAATCATAAGCGACTGGTTTTGTACATGATGTATGTATTTAGATTTTGTTCTCTTCCCATTAATTATTTACTGATGACCTCTTTGAGATCATATAGTTACTATATTTTTTTGCTTTTCAGCGTCTACTACAGGGTTTTTATTTTGTAATTTCATTAATCTGTTTTGCAATAACATTTAGATATTTTATTCCATTTGTTGGTATACTAAGGATTATACCCATCCATAATTTCTAGCACTATTATCCCTTATTTATAACTATTTGAGTTCAGAAATGTATCAGTGAAGCTGGTGTTGACGTTGAACATGTTGTTCATCTGTAAATGATACATGGTGTCCTCAGGTATATGGAAGCCTAAAGATAGCCTTTAAAAAGAAGATCATGTTTTCTAAATCTTGTAAAAAATACTGTCTGTGAAAAGATCTACAGACAAGATGACATAAGTTCAGCATATAAAATAAATGGTAGCGGTAGCAAGTTCTGAGTATGTTCACAGAGTGACATCTGTCACTGAAGAAGAGACACAGTAATAGTAGATCAAGGGGGGAAACGGCAAAAGCATTAAATCTAATACTATGAAAATATCCTTATTTACCTCAGTAGCTTTTGAGAAGATCACTGTGGTTTAATATTAGACATATGAGATATTAGAAAAAAATGTAAATAATGTTGGAATTTTCAGTAATAACATATTACCCAATATAATCCATTTGTATGGTTTCCCAGGAAAATTTGTTTTCCAATATTCGATATTCAAGCTTCAGTTACATATAAAGGCTATTTTTCTGGCATATTGTCTCTAATGTTTTTAAAGAGCAAAGTGCTATTATAACTTGCAATAGTGTAAATGCACTACTTGCCAGTTTTCTTAAAATATTTTTTTCTGAAGGATATTATAAAACCTAATAATACACATGTTTAGACAAAAGTTATATATGTGCATATTGGAGTTTTATGGTTCTTTTCATTCCAGTGTAATATTTTTATAGTGTACCAAATATGTTTCAGTTGTTTTTTTTTTTTATCATATGAAAATTGGCACCATTCCTGTGATAGGCTAATAACCAAGCATTAAAAATCAACCTTGGAACCAGCATAATAATAAAGGGCTGTTGCTTAAATACTAGTTCTAAAACTAGAGTAGAAAATGTGCTAATGAAAATTTCTCCCATAGTCATTATTTTTAATGTTTAAAGTCTCTCATTTTATGAATTAGTTTTGATTTTATACATAGAACTACATCTCATTCTTTTCTTCTCTTACTCATTATGAACCCTTTTCTCCCCCTTTTAGCAATCTTCTTGAGCTCTTTTCGGGTGCCATATGAGGAAATCAAAATGATGATATTGGAAGTGGATGAAACACAGTTGGCAGAGTCTATGATTCAGGTAAACAAACTGGCAGAGAGCTTAAATTCCAATATTTCATTGCAAGCTTCTCATTAAATACAAATCTGTAAGTGAAGCAAAATTCTTAAACCAAATCATTCAACTGGAAAATCATTGCTGCATAATTAGTTTTAGCATAACTTCTGCTTTGCCAGGAGATAAAACTCTGCATCTTTTCTTAACTGCAACTAAATATAATGCTATCAAAATGATTACATTTCAATTATTTTAAATGACTGTTTTTGAAAGGCAAATTGTTTAATTCAACATGTATGTTTTTGTTTTTGTTACAGTTAAGGTTAGTAATATGTGACTTAAAGTTTATTTGTATAATCCTTTCAGAATATGTTTTTATTAGGCTCTTACCTTGTAAAGTTGCATTATGATTCAGTGCAGAAGATTGAGGGACTTTTCTCTTCATTTAGAGTCATCTTTATTAACCACCCTTCCTTGAGTCATTTGTGTTCCTACGAGTACTAGAAATTGTGGGCATAGCATTCTGAATTCATTCAGGAGGCTGCCAGATTTTTTAAATGGTGTCTACCCACAGTATTATTTAAGGAATGCTAGTGTGGTGCCAGAGTTATTTGCTGAATTCCACATAAGACATCAATAATGCGTGTCTTGATAAACTGTAAAATCAGAGTATCAAACCACAAATTATATAGGAAGAGAATAATATCTTCAGTTTACTATCTTTCATTCTTATAGTGGATGTACTTAGAAAAATGGCTTTTTAGCAACAAAAAGAAACCAGAGATTATTTGTTAGTGTGAACACATGTTTAAAATTATTTTGGACATTTAATCCATCAATGAATGGTATCTTGGAAAGTTTTGGGTTTTGCTTCTGCTATCTTGTCTTCCCAAGGTGGTTGCGATATAATCCCAGTAGGGGTTTGTGCTGTGAGTAGCTGAGACTCATATACACCTGATTCAGTAACTCTTCCCTGAGCCTTTTTTCTCTAAGCACTTTCTTTTTACTAGGTTTTTGTCTTTGTTAACTGTTGATCGTAAATGTGACTTGTTGGGAGTAAATTTCAAGTTCCTTAAAGAAAATTTTTTCTGCTTCATACATGTTTGTATTTTTTTTTTTTTGATGCATTTATTGAATTTTTACAGAGTAGCTTTTATTTTTTTTTTTATTTATTTTTTTTTCAACATTTATTTATTTTTGCGACAGAGAGAGAGAGACAGAGCATGAACGGGGGAGGGGCAGAGAGAGAGGGAGGCACAGAATCGGAAACAGGCTCCAGGCTCTGAGCCATCAGCCCAGAGCCTGACGCGGGGCTCGAACTCACAGACCGTGAGATCATGACCTGGCTGAAGTCGGACGCTTAACCGACTGCGCCACCCAGGCGCCCCTTTACAGAGTAGCTTTTAACTTGATTACACGAATGTTTTGGATATTCATGTGGATTTTGTGTGTAGAGATGGGAAATTTGCATTTTTAAATTCATGTCCAAAGAACATCCAGTTCCATATAATTTCTTAATATATTAGTTTTCTATTGCTGCTGTAACAATTCACCATAAATTCAGTAGCTTAAAATAACACAAATTTATTAGTCTCCATTTCTGTTGAACAGAAATCTGGCATGTGCCTTATTGCGCTAAAGTCCAGGTGTTGGCAGGCTTGCCTTCCTTTCTATCGGATTTTAAAAAAAAATCCCTTTCTTTATCTTTCCTGGCTCCTAATGGCTTCCCACATTCCTTGGCTTGGGACACTTCTCTTCAACTTTCAAAGGATATTGACTCTCTTCTTTTTTCCATGGTCACATCTCCCTCTCGCTCCATGTTCTGTCTCTCTCTTCCACTTTTAAGGACCTTTGTGGTTACATTCTGCAGTTCTGATAATCTAGGGAAATTTCCCCTATTTACAAGTTTTGGGGATTAGGTGTGGACATCTTGGGTGGTGTGGTTCAGGTCATCGTTCTGCCTGCCACACCTACTACATGTAAAACCCATCTCAGGAATTTAAAATCGAAAAATTTAGTTTGGACATTTATATGCTGATTAAAAAATAAGAATTCCGTGCTATTTGAAGTCTCAAGTTAATTTTATTTATTTCAGTTTATTTATTCATTTTGAGAGAGAGAGGGAGGGAGAGTGCAAGTGGGGAGGGGCAGAGAGATAGGGGGAGAGAGAATCCCAAGCAGGATCTCCAACCTCCCACATGGGGCTCGAACTCATGAAAAATGAGATCATGACCTGAGCTGAAATCAAAAGCTGGATGCTTAACTGACTGAGCCACCCAGGTGCCCTCTTAAATTAAATAAAAAAATATGTTCCTAATTGTAAAGTGAAGAACTGCCTATTTTTCACAGGGCACAGGGAAAACCTTACTTTATAATAATCATCATTTTGGTAAGCTATGTTCACAGTCACGATTTTGTTTTGGCATATCTAGTTACTCATTCATATATAACCAGATGTCAGTAGTATGTCATTTTTGATGTCATCCTTCTAACTTATTCTCTCCCCGTTTGCCTTCATTTGTCTTTTATTAATTAGTTCATTTAGCATCTATTTATTATAACCCCCCCCCCCCCCCCCC